GTATTCTCAGTCTTATTTAACTTTTTAAATTAAAAATATAATGTAATAAAATAAAATAAGTGTAATTATAAACAATAATTTAGTAATAATAAAAATTAATGTAATAACATTATTTATAACTTAGTATTCACAGCGAATATTTTAGAAATTTTTTTCTACTCATCATCTGAGATATAATGTTCTCCCCTAGAATTTAAAAAACCTTTTTAAATTAAAATTTTATTTATAACTGAAGGGAAAAAGTCATTACTTACATTTCTCTTTGAGCACGAAATTTCGCTAATTTAGCTCTTTCTTGTAACTCTTTTTTTTCTAAGAACAACTTTTTAATCGTCATTTTATTAATAAACTGTTCTCGTTCTTTTTTAAGTTTACATATTTCGATTTCATGATTAATTTTTATATCTGCCAATTCCATTTCTTTGTCACATATTATAGTCATTCTTTCAGTTTTCTGTTTCTTTGAATTGGACCGTGATGTAGCATTTCTATTTTTGTTTCTCTTAAGTTCTCTATCTGATAAAATTGAATTTTCTTTTTCTGTAAAACATTATTTTCATATGTTAAAAATGAACAGCTTTTAATTTAAAATAATAGCTGCTTTTGCGACACAATCAAAATGATCCAGATTAAAATGATCCTGCGCTGTGATTGAATCCGAAATTTCTTTGAACATAATTCAAAAAAATTACAAATTTCAATCACAGCGCAGAATTATTTTAATGTGAATCATTTTGAATCTGTCGCGAAAGCAGCCAATATTTCATATTGTTTTACCAGATTCATTATTAGACTCTTTATCTATTGTATCATATATTGTATCATCCATTTCAAATTCCATGTCGTCAATGTTAAATGCTGGTTCATTAGATGTTAGTAATTTTTGTGTCTTCAAACACTCTCCACTAGCAATGTAATCAATTTTGGTCGAAGCATTCTGCTGAATTGCTTTTAAAACCTTTATTTGTCGATCTAAAATATTGAATTTAATCATTTTATCATTTAAGTTAAAAGAATTTATATATATTATTTATATATTATCACTTATATAAGCTTATATATTGCTTTTATATTCCTGCATACAAAAGTTACTTAGGTCCAATTGCACCAATGTTATTTGGGCTTTAAGCGAGACTTAAATATATATCCATTTTCTTTCTACATAAAGGCAGACACATATTTAAGTCTAGCTTAAAGCCAAAATAACATTAGTGCAATATCAGACCTTAAAGAAATGGTTGATGTTGTCATGAAATCAGATACAAGTACCTTCATATTCCGCCTTAGAAAAGTTACTTGAAGAAATGGTTGGTGCTGTTGTCATCAAATCAGGGACAATGTCTAAAACATTTGGATCAACTTCAGCAATATTTTTTTGTGGTCCTCCTCCTGTGAGAAATCTTGATTGTCTTTCAGTTGTTAATATATTTTTATTTTGCTGTTTTAAATTAGACCAATACTTCCTCAACTGTTGTACATCTCTCTATAATATAAAAACTATTTATATTTCAAAGAGAATTGATAAAATAGTAAAAATAATAAAGTAAATTTTATACTTTAGTAGAAATTAAGGAAGAGTTATTATATTCTTCCATAATAATAGACCAAGCCTCTGACTTCTCTTTTAACGTGGAGGTATTTGTACCTTTCGATTCAACAATATGTTTGTATTTTTTTAAGATCTCAAGGAATACTTGTTTTTCCAAATCTGAATATACCGTTCTTTTAGACATTATCTTTCTAAAAAATTTATTTTTTGAAAACAAAATTTTAAGAAAATGCAAAGGAAATAGATAATAGATTTTCACAACAAAATAGATAAGGTTAAGTTTTCTCTGTTTAAATAAATATTATAGTAAATATATAACAGTAATAATATCATAATTTTTCTCAATTTTTACTCACAATATACGCTAGTAAAGTAAAATAAATTAGTAAAATCTACCGTTTATTAGAATCTCGACAATGTATTTCTGATGACAGCGAAGACACACGTTTCTCTATGTATACTTTTAGATATTGAAATGTCATTGGTCAAATTTTAGGGAATTCCGAATATTTCCGAAGTTGGATGCTTAAGAATGAACTTTACTAAGACAGTCTTAAGCTTTAACCTGATTCTTCAAGACTCGTTTGTGCATATAGGACATTCTCAAGATAATTTTGGACGCTAAGTTCATCTTGGCGAAGACTATCTTAAGACAGATTTTAAGCAACATCTATGAATTCCACCCATTATGTTTTCATTCAAGCGAGCACTTTAATAATTAATCGAGAAAATATTTTTAATTACAAAGAATTAGAATTGAAAAAATATGGATCCTATCGAATCCAAAAATCAGCAATATTATAGACACAGATATCCTGACAAATATGATAATAAAGGTTTTATTATTTTATTTAAAAAATTTTCTTCAATTGTATAATTTGCAGTCAATATTTAAATAATTGTTAAATCATTATTTTTTTTGGTATTTAAATATTTGATTATATTATTTTAATTCCATCAAAGAAACTCGTAAAAATGGAATAAGACAGGTGAGAAATTTGCACAATTATATATATATATATATATATATATATATATATATATATATATAAATAATTTATTAAATCTTCTAAATAAAATTTACTATTGATTTAACAATTGCATTATTGTTATAATTATGAGAATTGTGGAACTTTAAAATTATTTAAATATAAATTACAAAACTCATACTTTATATTTCATTAAAGTATCCTTTCTTACAAACAGGATGCAGACATATCGCAAGATGTAGAGCAAAATCAACACTCATGGTTTCAAAGAACACATGAAAACAATTTGACTGTCAAAAATCGTTGTCAAACAACACACGAAATACGCTTTCCTGAAAAATTACAGGGTCTTTATAGCACACGGTTTTCTAAAAGTGTGTGAAATTATAGTTGCAGGCTTGGAAGCGGTGCTATTCAGGTAATGATTGTTTAATAATATATGGAGCATGATTAAAATTATTGTGACATTATAAGAGTTTTTAACAAGGCTCTGTAATATAAATATAAATTTAACGTATAAGACGGGCAACAAGAGCCAAATCGCGGATGACAATGCGTTATCCTAACGAAACTAAATAATTTTCCGTTGCACCGGTATTTAATTCTAACGGAAAATTATTTAGTTTCGTTAGGATAACGCATTGTCATCCGCGATTTGGCTCTTGTTGCCCGTCTTATACGTTAAATTTATTGTGACATTATTTTTTATGTAATATTTTATAGATGCGGAATGGTGGGACCTGTGAATTAATAACAACGCTTAAATCTGGTCTGGAAATTTCAATGCCAGTTATGTGTTGCAGATTTAATCCAGTAAATGAAGAAATATTCTATGCTTCCAGTGCCTGTGGAAGTATTTTCATGTGCAACACACACACTAAAGAGTTTTCTAGATTTATTTTTGGTAGATGAATTATAATTATTAATTACATTAGATTATTTTAACATTATTTTTTAATTTAAATTTGTCTATGCAGAACTAAAAAATGAGGTGAATACGATAGATGTAAGCCCCACAGGAGATTACTTAGTCTCTGGTGGTAAAGATGCAACTGTTCGTCTTTATGATACACGAAATACTAAAGTTAATATTATTAAATATTTATCGTTAATTCTAATTAAAAATTCTAATTAAAATTCAATTATTTGCATATTTCTACAAAATTTTTATTGAAATATAGAATACATAAAAATTATTTTATTTCTATAGAAAATACATATAAACAATATTTCAATGTAAATTTATTTTAGCTGATATTAGATTATAAAAAAGATGAAGATTTGATAGAAAGTAAAGCTATAAACTTTCATCAAATGAGGATATTTGCTTCAAGATTTCACAATAAATATCCTAATCTAATTATCACTGGTGGATGGGATAATACTGTTAGAGTAAATTACACATATATATAAAATTATACATATATATATATATATATATATATATATATAATTGAAAATATTTTTTAAACATATGTTAAGAAATATTTCATATTATATAATATTTCTTTTTCTACATAAGACAATAATATTGCAAATAGATAAAATATTTATTAACATTAAATTAAACAGTTTTTTTTAGATAAAACAAATTGAAAGAAGATTTTTCTTCCAGATTTGGGATATTAGAGTTCCAACTGGTTCGATAAGAGTTATCAAAGGTCCTCATATATGCGGTGATGCCATTGACATATGTGTAAGAATTTTTTTATTACACAGGAATAAATTAATATTTATATTTGTATAATTATTGAAAAAGCTTTATGTTATATAAATGAACTTTTCTATATTTCTCATTTACTAGGAGACGCACATCCTTACAGGCTCTTGGATAGTGCGTGATAGTCTACAAATATGGGATTTGATGAGTGCAAAACTTATCGAAATGATAAATCCACAAGACAGAGTTTCAACTTTGAACGGTGAATTTCTTTATGCAGTGCAATATCTTGATGGCGATCCTTATGGTGATCTTATCCTGACTGGAGGCTCTGGTACTGGTGCACTTGAAGTGATTAGTTTAAGGGAAAAGAAGGTTTGAGAGATTCCTGATATTATGAAATAGATTTAGATTACAAAAAAAAAACACAAACAAAACAGAAAATTATTTATACATTGCTATATATAATAAATGTCTTTAATTAATGTTTTAAAAAGGTAAAAATGACAATTTTTCACTTTACTTTCATTTTTAATAGGTAATGGGAAGTATCAGTGTAAACAAGCCGATTTTCACCATAGATAGCTATCAAACTACAATAATATTCGGTGGTATAGAATCTATGTTAAAACGTGCAAATTATAATTAATAGACTATTTTACTGTTTGTGTGATCAAGTTATTGAATCTCTTATTAAATAATATAATCTAAAATATATTATTTCTTTGCATGTAAAATGCTACAAAAATGCATATTTATAATTACTATTGAAGCATAAATAGTAGTTAAGATACTGTTTCTAAATTGAATAATTCCAAAATTATAAATTTTGCAAAATTTATGGGTATAGTTTTTAATTTGAAATTTCGCGCTTGTTTGAAGTGTTACAGGGGGTGCACATTTTACAAATAACAAAAGTACTAGATTCTCAAATCTGATTGGGATTGGCTGCATTGCATCTGTAGGATGTGAAAAAATTGGGAAAAATGGACGCCGAGAGAGTGAATACATTAGTTTTGTCTAAACTTTATCTTATAACAGAGAGAAGGATGAGAGTGGTCATCCCCTCGATTTAGCCACAGATTAATAGACAGATCGCCAAAGGCCTGCCTAAAGAAGAGACCGCCATCTTCGTGCGATAGACTTTGCCCCTTACCGACACACTTTGCCCCTGGTTCGAGTCCGTGCTAAATTTCGTAGACTTGAACCAAAAGACTTTGCCCCTGGTTCGAGTCCGTGCTAAATTTCGTAGACTCGACCAAAAGACTTTGCCCCTGGTGCAAGTCCAGGCTAAATTCGTTTGACATTACCAACAGACTTTGCCCCTGGTGCGAATCCAGGCTAATTGATCATGAGACCAATTTGAGAGATTTGGCCCCCGTTGTGTGTGTGTGTGTGTGTGTGAGAGAGAGAGAGAGAGAGAGAGAGAGAGAGAGAGAGAGAATATTTTACATATATGCATATATATATATAAAATTTATTAAATATAAAAAATATATTTTTTACACATAAAATGTTTTTTTATTGAAATAATCACGATTTTAAATGTGATATAACACAGTGTTCAAAAATTTTTTAATTAAATTTTTTAATTAAATTTTATTAAAGAAAATTACTTGAAATTTTTTACATTAAGAATTTAAAGGCTCCTTATTCTCTTGTAGAAATTTATCACTACGCCAATTAATCACTTATTTTGAGTATTTAAAATACTATAATATACAGTAATTTAAGTATTCGAAATAAAAGTGATTAATTACTCGAAATAAGTGATAAATTGGCGTTACTAGTAATAAATTTCTATAAGGGTTGAAATAAAGTATAAGAGATAAATAGGCTATATGTGAGCCGTATGCGAAATGTGAGATGTAAGACGCATATTGAAATTTAATTTTTCGATATAACTTTCAAAAATGTACACGAGGTACAAAAAATTAGCTTGGACATTTGTAAGACTTAAAATTGGGATTAATTCTCAATTCTATTAATTAAATTTCGATATAACACACCTTACATCCGCGCACGGCTCACATATATATAGCCCATTTATTAGTGCAATTTTTAAGTTCCTTATTTTTCAAAGTTCACCTTTTTACGTTATCAAATATTTTTACGTTTTCAAGAATTTTATATTTTTACTTACCGCAGTTTCTTATCCAAATGTAAAATCTTTTATCGCAGTCTATAAAAAATTGAAACAATTTACAATTTTATGATATAATATTATTATTATTACAATTTCTATATATATGCACATCTGTCAAATATCGTGATTTATTTCACATTATTATTATCTATTTTAATAAAAAAAAAAACAAAAACACTTGCAACAATCAAAAATAAACCGCCTGCCGCGAACGGAAAATGCCAAGAAAGCACGCAATTTCCGCGAATCTCGTAATTTTTTTGAAAAATCAACAATTTCAACGAAATTGTAAATTCTTCAAATCACTGCACAAGTATAATTCACAATAATAATTTTCAGTAACTACGATAAAAAATCGTATACTGAAAACCGCAAACGAAAGTGCAATGGGAGTAAGAGTAAAGTCTGTGATAAAATTAATTGGCAATAGAAAATTAATAATTTTCAAATAGAAAAATTTTGAAATTACCGAGGATTTACAAATAATAAAGTAAAAATATTAAATAATTTATGTTTTCGAATTTTGCTCGCGGAGAGGATCTTTAAAACAAGATTTTTAGAAGAGAGGACCTTTAAAATATAAACAGGCAAAAACGTTGGAAAAATTAAAGCGCGCGTTTAAACAGATAAACGCAATGAAATAAATACGCAATTGTTTTTACTTATCGCTGTAAGCTCACAAGCTTCTGACGTGCTATACACTTTTATATAATATATACAAGGTGTCCGGTAACTAACGGACCAATGATTAAGGGCGGATTCTCTGGCCAATTTGGAGACGATTTTTCCTTAGCAAAAATGTTGAGAAGTCAATAATTTTCGAGTTATAAGCGATTGAAAAAAATAGGTTTTTTGAAAACTAAACGTTTTGGAGTTAAAAGTCTAACATAATTACATTCTTCAGTTAATTTCAGGTAGAGTTTACTATAATAAAATTTTAATTTAAGGCTTAGTTATAAAGATACATAATGACAAAGATTGGAAAGTTGTAAAAAATGATGACCTTTTTCGACATTTTCGCTGAGGAAAAATCGTTCCCAAATTGACCAAAGAATCCATTTGTAATCATTGGTCTGTTAGTTACCGGACACCCTGTATATTGGACACGAGTTTCGTTTGTTTCAGATTCTCGAGAGTTGAAGTAGGAACATACGAGTATCATATATCGTTTGTGACTTGCCGAATGAAAGCAAGACAGAGAGCGAACGAGATGATGAGCTTAATAGCTCATAATGTTATAAATAAATAAATAAAAAATTATAACCTGACCTACTAGTTATTGAATCTTTTTTTAATAAAATGTTTCATTATTATTATCATCTAAGTCTAAGTCGTTTAATTACTTTTTAGTTTTTTAATAATTAATTTAATTTATTCTAGTCATTTTTATATGAGAAAAATAATATCACGTATACGTTTTATAATGAATTAATATATTTCGGGAACCGAATTATATATTCTTAATAATATAAAAGTGTTCAAAAATTATATTTGACTTTTAATTTTAATTATTTTATAGCAAAGAGTTCCGAAATCTCTTACACACATAATGGGGATTTTTTTCATCCATATAATTCGCAATTAAGTATATATGTTAATTATTAATTTTAATAAAATAAAAATTAAAATTAAAGGTCAAATATAATTTTTAAACACAAATATATTAAATTAATTATAAAACGTATACCCATGATAGTATTTTTCTCGTACAAAAATAATTAGAGTAAATTAAATTAATCATAAAAGATTAAAAATTAATTAAAGAATTTAAACTTATATTTTATATAATAATAATAAAACATTTTATTACGTCAAACCGTCGTGAAATAATTAAATAAAATTTGCTAGTTACGTCAAAGTCAAGTTTTCTAAGCTTATAAAACATTTTATTAAAAAACAGATTCAATAAATATAAGTACATGTTATATATATACTTATATTTATTGAATCTGTTTTTTTATAAAATGTTTTATTATTATCATATATAATATAAATTATTTAATTATTTTTTAATTTTTTTATGAGTAATTTAATTTGTTCTAGTTATTTTTGTACGAGAAAAATACTATCACGGGTATACGTTTTATAACGAATTAAATATATTTATGTTCAAAAATTATATTTGACCTTTAATTTTAATTTTGTATTTTATTAAAATTAATAATTAACATATATACTTAATTGCGAATTATATGGATGAACAAAATCCCTATTATGTGTGTAAGAGATTTCGGAACTCTTTGCTAAAATAATTAAAATTAAAAGTCAAATATAATTTTTGAACACTTTTATATTATTAAAAATATATAATTCGACTCTCGAAATATATTAATTCATTATAAAACGTATACGTATTAGTATTTTTCACATATTAAAATGATTAGAATAAATTAAATTAATTATTAAAAAACTAAAAATTAATTAAACGACTTAGACTTAGATGATAATAATAATGAAACATTTATTAAAAAATAATTATAATAGGTCAGGTTAATATTTTATTTATTTATTTATTTATAACATCATAAAATTCTGTCCTTTCCGAAATACGCGAACGCTACGAAAAGATAAATCTCGTACATGCCGCCGGACGAGTTCATGAGCATGAGACGCTCTTATCTTGGGAACGTATTAATAGTTACTGCATTGACCACTACTACGATATGGCGCTGAAATCAGTGAGAAATGCTGGTCTCTCCTTCATCCAGACCTTTGGCGATCTGTCTATTAATCTGTGTAAATAATAAGCAAAAATAGGAAAGTTTCGAATTTTTGATATTCGTTTTCTCGAACAGTCGCGTTAAAAATAAGGCGCTAACTTCCAAATATACGATAATAAAAAGGGAACATATAGATATGCGAGGATGACTGACGACACCAGCTGATTGCGTCACGCGGGATCGTTGTACTTTCTAGAATCTGTTCCACGCGGAGGTCTCGTTCCATATATATATATATATATATATTATTTGCGTTTCTATGAAAGAAAATATTCATTAAACCTTGAAAGAAGACCATCTTTAATTCTTTTTCCTCCTTTAATTTATTTTCTGTACACGAAGCTCGAATTTTGATCGTCCTAATTATTATTCGAAATTAATGTCCGTCGAATTCAGTCGAACGTGGTGGCAGAGAGAAGGATGAGAGTGGTCATCCCCTCGATTTAGCTGCAACCGGAATTCAAAGCGCCTCTATGTGCACAAAACGTGCACATTGAACTACGTAGCCATGTGCACGATGCTCCCGAGTGATAACAGGCTATGTGCACGGTACGTGGTTCGATTCCGTGCTATGTGCACAGATGAGCGCCGGTAACACGTAGCTGTTAAAGGAGATGAGTTCGAGACCTAGCAGGGCCAATTTTTTTTTTTTTTAGTACGACTATATTTGTCAATTTAATGAAATCCTTTTAATTATTGTAGAATAAAGAGATAAAATGCAATTCCCAAGCGTACGCGAGAAAATCGAAATTAAAAATTCTGGGTGCCGTATAAATACGTATGGAATGGAGCGTTTCTCAAGCGTACGCGAGAAAATCGAAATCAAAAATAATGAGTGCCGTATAAATACGTATGGAATAGAGCGTTATATCGAAGAGTGTGGCCACAGATTAATAGACAGATCGCCAAAGGCCTGCCTAAAGAAGAGACCGCCATCTTCGTGCGATAGACTTTGCCCCTTACCGACACACTTTGCCCCTGGTTCGAGTCCGTGCTAAATTTCGTAGACTTGAACCAAAAGACTTTGCCCCTGGTTCGAGTCCGTGCTAAATTTCGTAGACTCGACCAAAAGACTTTGCCCCTGGTGCAAGTCCAGGCTAAATTCGTTTGACATTACCAACAGACTTTGCCCCTGGTGCGAATCCAGGCTAATTGATCATGAGAC